TAATAATAATAGACCAATGGTCTAGCCCTGGATATGGCTACGTCCTAGGTTCTGTCCATGCTGAGGTAGAAAATTATGTTGTGCCATCCAGCTAGCCTGCCTGATACTTAATAGTATAACACACAGAGTTCTATTTTGAGCCTTCTCCCTATTCGCCCACCACCTCCTTTCTCTTAAGAGCACCATTGCATTACTTCCCAGCAGGACAGAGACAGGTTCACTGAGCTCAGGCACAAAAGCGACAGTTTCCTAATGCATCTGCTCACTACTTCCTTTCGGTGCTGGCTGGCAGCTTTAAATACAGGATTAAAATTAAAACTCCCAGATAAATGCAAAAGCTCGGGCAGGGGACAGCTTAGCACTCTGCCACCCAGTGGCCGCTGCTTGAACGGCAGGCTCGTTCCAAAAGCAGCGCTGTATACTCTGAGGCCTTCTTGCGTGCTAAATAAATCGAATGCAACCTCTGCAACAAGAGGAGCTGAATTTTGCAACCTCAATGAATCACACAAAATCATGACATTTGCAGGGGTACGCAAAATAAGAACACTATATTTTGTCATTCTTGGGGAGACCCAAGTAGGTACAGCAGTACCTCGGGTTAAGTACTTAATTCGTTCCGGAGATCCGTTCTTAACCTGAAACTGTTCTTAACCTGAAGCACCACTTTAGCTAATGGGGCCTCCCACTGCAGCTGCGCCGCCGGAGCACGATTTCTGTTTACATCCTGAAGCAAAGTTCTTAACCTGAAGCACTATTTCTGGGTTAGTGGAGTCTGTAACCTGAAGCATATGTAACCTGAAGTGTATGTAACCCGAGGTACCACTGTATACAGGACTCTGAAGTTAGGCCAGCTCTAGATTTGAGGTAGGGGGACGGGTGAGGGGAGGCTCCCTTTTACATTGGAGAGCCCCCCCTCCCTGGTTTACTTGCTGGTGGAAGCAAGCAACAGCAGCGCTGCAATCTATGTATCTGCCCACTATTTTAATTATCCAAAGACACCTGACATAGCACCAGCCTGCTGCATTGCAGGGAATTTAAAAGTGTGTGTGTGTGGGGGGGGTACCCTTCCCCTTTAACTTCCATGTGGGGCCTGCTGGGGCTCTAGTAACTTCCCAAAGATGCCAGCTGCCGATACCAAGCCTGCCCTGAAATCTCTTTCTGTCCCCCACAACATTTTGCTGGAAAACTTTGTTTGGCAATCCGTTTGCCTCTTGGGTGTCACAAGCCCTAGGCCCTGCAACTTTCAAGTTTGTTTTATAACCCCACAGGTTATAAAGGCTGCCTTTTAAAGATGTTGGCGACCATTGCCACTTTTTTTTCTTTTCAGTTTTCCTATGAAAGCATGGCAACACTGCCTACGTGTTCAGATTTGGGCGGACAACAGGGCCGCCCATGTCTTTGTAAGTTCAAAAGCTGACAACTACTCCAGGTGCTTTGGGGGCTGCCCTTGAGAGCTGCAGATGGGTCAATGTGGTGATTCACCTCCTGATAAAGGTAAAGGGACCCCTGACTGTTAGGTCCAGTTGCGGACGACTCTGGGGTTGTGACGCTCATCTCGCTTTACTGGCCGAGGGAGCCAGCATACAGCTTCCGGGTCATGTGGCCAGCATGACTAAGCCGCTTCTGGTGAACCAGAGCAGCGCACGGAAACGCTGTTTACCTTCCTGCCGGAGTGGTACCTATTTATCTACTTGCACTTTGACGTGCTTTCGAACTGCTAGGTTGGCAGGAGCAGGGACCAAGCAATGGGAGCTCACCCCATCACGGGGATTTGAACCGCCGATCTTCTGATCGGCAAGTCCTAGGCTCTGTGGTTTAGACCACAGCGCCACCTGCGTCCTTAAAACACCTTCTGATAGGGCCACTCAAAAGACATTGCTGCTGCTTCCAGGCTCAGGTTCAAGGTGTTCTTTAACATTAGCTGATGATAATCTGCTGAAGCATCTGTCCAGCAGCTGCAGCAGCTGGTTCTAATGGCTTGGGTCCAGCATTGTCTATGGACCATTTCACAGGAGACATTATTGCTCCTACGTGGAGATGATCTTGAGGCAGAGACTGTGTATGATATATACAGTGGTACCTCGGGTTAAGTACTTAATTCGTTCCGGAGGTCCGTTCTTAACCTGAAACTGTTCTTAACCTGAAGCACCACTTCAGCTAATGGGGCCTCCTCCTGCCGCCGCACCGCTGGAGCCCGATTTCTATTCTTATCCTGAAGCAAAGTTCTTAACCCAAGGTAATATTTCTGCGTTAGCGGAGTCTGTAACCTGAAGCGTATGTAACCTGAAGCATATGTAAACCGAGGTACCACTGTACTGAAAAATACGACTTTAGAGCCATATGCCCCCAAAATGGCAACGAGGCATTCTGTTTTTGCGACTAGACTATAACTTTGGTTTAAGGAGTCATTTGGCGCCTAGCTTATATATCTGAGTTTCTAACACTGCTGCAGAGTGACTCCAGACATTTTTGTTTCGACACTGGAGCAACACTGGAGCACAATTTCTGTTCTCATCCTGAAGCAAAGTTCTTATCCCGAGGTACTATTTCTGGGTTACCGGAGTCTGTAACCTGAAGCATATGTAACCTGAAGCGTATGTAACCTGAGGTACCACTGTATTGTGTAAAGTACACTGTGAAAGTTTGGATGTCGGGAAGGTGCTACAACCCCCAAGAGCACTAAACTAGTTCCAAGCAGCCCAAGGAACATTTGCAGTGCTCCAATTTCACACTAAAGACTCATTACCTTCAACAGCAATTCTGCAAAGCGGAAACGTTAATAGGAAAAGCCGCTCCATGCTGCAGTAAAGAGGCAGCCGGCAGAGTCCTTGGGGAAATTGTCTAGGCCAGAAAGTCTCCTATCACCGCCTGATTGCCATTTAGAACAGGAACACTTCCATAGTCTCAAGGACCATTCAATTCTCCAGACAACTATTGGGGAGGCAAGAGATTGTTGTTTTTCTCATGCACAAATGGACCACCTCTCAGATGAGCAGGCTCAATGCTAAGTTGGGTGCCGTTTTAGCAGTATAGAGATTTACAGTCCTGGAGCTCAAGCGTAGAGAAAGAGCTGAGATGTTACATACAAAATCGAAGCAGGGGGAAAGGAAGAGTACCATCACGGGAGAATTTCCAACAGCTTGACTCCTTGTTTTTGAAGCTTTACAACAGGGTTGGGGAACCTGTGGCCCTCCATATGTTGTTGGCCTATGACTCTCACCTTCCCTCATTGTTGGTCCTATTGACTAGGGCTGATCGGAGTAGGAGTCTGACAACATCTGGAGCACCAGAGCCTCCCCATCCCTGTCTTATTAAGAAGGTGTTGTAAGAAAGAGACTGAGAATAGCATCATAGACTGCTGCCCAAAGGGACAGTGGTCCTCTGAGGAAACATCTGTTCAGGCTAACTTGATTTGTTGCAGAAATGGCTACAATGGCTTGATTCTAGAAGATCTGGAACCAAGGTGAAACTCTTTGAATGGCCTTGAAGGGAGATGTAATGTTGTTACCTTCATAGTATTGGAACGCTGCTGGGTTTCTGGTATACTATAAGTGTTTGGATTTGATATCCCGCTTTATCACTACCCGAAGGAGTCTCAAAGCGGCTAACATTCTCCTTTCCTTTCC